TGCAATTTTTGCAGCCGTTCTAGGTGTGTCTTTGGTGTGCTGGAAAGCTGGCCCGCCGCTGCTGGCCCAAATTTCTAGTTTGAAAGAGCCAGCATTGCTGAAGGCACTTGGTGCAAAGGAAGGAGCCAGGCCGTGTCCTCTGGGGCTGGGGAAGCACAGGGACCCTTCGTCCTGCCCGCTCCTTCCCTTCAAGTTCAGCTCAGCACATTTCTGTCAGTGTCCGCGGGGCCTTTTCAGCACACGGGGACACAGACCAGAAGATGGACGGGGCCCCTGCCCTTGTCCAGTGGTGCACGGGCTGCAGACAGAGGTTTCCCCTATGATTTGTGCTTGGCTTGTGGGTGGGACCATGCGTTACATTTTTATGTAGACGTCAGGAGTAGTTTTCAAAAGTAGGTACAGAAACATGTGCTTTCTTTATTTTTTTAAGTTTGTTTTTATTTATTTTGAGAGAGATAGAGAGCAAGTGGGGGAGGGACAGAGAGAGAGAGGGAGAGAGAATCCCAAGCAGGCTCTACACTGTCAGTACAGAGCCTGACATGAGGCTTGATCCCATGAACCAGGAGATCATGACCAGAGCCCAAACCAAGAGTTGGACACTTAACCGACTGAGCCACCCAGGAGCCGCAACATGTGCTTTCGTTTAGTTAAAATTAATAGGTTAAATTTCTTAATATACAGGGGCGCCAGGTAGCTCAGTTGGCGAAGCGTCCGACTTTGGTTCAGGTCATGATCTCGCGGTTCATGAGTTCGAGTCCCACGTCGGGCTCTGTGCCGACAGCTCGGAGCCTGGAGCCGGCTTCGGATTCTGTGTCTCCCTCTCTCTCTGCCCCTGCCCCCACCCCAAAATAAATAAACTTAAAAAAAATTCTTTCAAAAAAATTTTAAAAATGTTTCCTTAAAAAACTTCTTAATTTACAAAAAATGTGGTCTTTATTGCTCTTTCCCCGTCAACTCATCTCTTCCCTTTTTGCATTGTAGGGGCGACCACATCTCCATCGGCATCCATACCAGGAGAGCTCAAATAAGCCCCTGCGATCATTTTCTGATGGCTGAAAAAGATGTGACTGCATCACAACTATACTTCTGAGGCTCCTGCTATATTTGACGAGCATAGATTCTTATGAACTAAGTTATCTTCTAGCCGATTGGGCGTCACTGTTGCATAGATGGTACCAATGTTGGGTGTCGCTTCCTGTATTTCTCTGGGATGTGAATCACGGGGCTTGGGGACGCTGCGTCTCACTGGCCTGGGGTGTCCCAGTGTCTTGGAACCAATCCCTTCCCCCCTTACCCCCAACCCATCATCATCTGACCTCACCTGCTTCTGTGTGAGTCTCCATTGGTGACATTTCTATTGAAGTCAGCCTATTTAGACCCTTAACTAGAAGAAACTCACAGTCTTTTCCATTATTTGGTCCTGTAATACCTATAGAGATGATATTCTCTGTTTCAAAAAAACTTGAGAATATTGTGACATAGTTTACACTAAGAAAAAATTACTATCATTATGCCTTAAAGTTGTAAACACCTGATGTGAAAGCATCATATCATATGCCAGTTTAAAATGTTTGCTAAGCTTTTTTGCATAGGCTGAAATTCATATTACACATTTATTATTTTGTATCATTTAAGTAAAACTATGTCTCATTTTAATATTTAATTTAGTAGTTTTAACAATGGTTTTTTAACTAATCAGACTGAGTTTTATTATTTTATAAATTTTGCGACTGCTACATGTAATTAATTAGCATTGCAATGTGGTTTTATAAAGTTTTATTTATTTATTTTGAGAGAGAAAGAGGGAGAGAGAAAGTGTGAGCAGGGGAGGGGCAGAGAGAGAATCCCAAGCAGGCTCTGCTCTGTCAGCACAGAGCCCGATGCGGGGCTCGAACTCACGAACCGTGAGATCATGACCTGAGCGGAAATCAAGTCAGATGCTCAACTGACTGAGCCTCCCAGATGCCCCTAGAACTGTAGTTCTTCAAACGAGATACTTAGTTGGGCATCTGTGCTGTGTGAGCAAACTGAGGAAACATTTCCATAGGGAAATGTGTGAGCATGAGACAGTGTGGATGGCTGGTCATATCGAGTAAAAATGGGACAGTCAACCCTGAAACAACCTGGACTTGAACTGTGTGGGTCCACTGACAGGTGGACATTCTACAGGACAGCATTACAGATGTGTTCTCTCTTCCTTATGATTTTCTTCATTTAGTTTTCTCTTCTCTAGCTTACTGTCCTGTAAGAACACAATATGTGATCCATAGAACGTACAAAACGTGTTCATCGACTGTTGATGTTATGGGTCAGACTTTTGGTTAACAGTAGGCTGTTAGTAGTTAAGCCTTTTGGGAGAAACTTATATGTAGATTTTCAACTGTGTGGGAGGTCATGCAAATTATGTTCTGTAACCACATTGGAATCAATAATAGAAAGGAATAATGAAAATCAATAACAGAAGGAAAACTGGGTATTTCACAATTATGCAGAAATTAACACATTGGGAAGTGACTGACAGGTCAAAGAGGACATCACAGGGAAATTAGAAAATACTTGGAAATGAATGAAATAAAACCACAACATACAAAAACGTATGGGATGCCGTGAAAGCAGGGCTCAGAGGGATATTTATAGCTGCAATGCCTGCATTAAATAGTAATAAAGATCTCAAATCAAAGAGACAGAGAGAGAAAAGAAAAGAAAGATCTCAAATCAACAACCTGACTTTACTATCTCAGGGAACTAGGAGATGAGCAAACTAAACCCAAAGCTGGCAGAGGGAATGAAACAAAAGAGATTAGGGCAGATATAAACGAACCAGAGAACAACAAAACAATAGAATCAACAAAACTGAAGCTCATTCTTTGAAAAGTTGCCAGCCCTTTAGTAGACTGGCTAAGACAAAGAGAAGACGCTCATCACTAAAATGAAAAAATAAAAGTGAGACATCGTTAACACTACAGAAATAAAAGGACTATAAGAGAATACTAAGACAATTCTGTGCTCCGACAGAATGAGATAATCAGGATGAAGTGTGCATATTACCAAACTGACTCAAGAAGAAATGAGAATCTGGACAGATCTATAACAAGAGACTGAATCAGTAAAAAAACAAAACGAAACAACAACAAACCCCAAAAACCAAAACTGTCCAATCAAAGAAAAGCCCAAAGCAGGATGTCTTTACTTATAAATGCTAAGAGTCATTTAGAGAATTAAAACCAATCCTTCTCAATTTCTGTCAAAAATGGAAGAGAAAACACTCCCTAACTCATCCTATGAGGCCAGGAATATCCTGATACTAAAGGCCGATAAAGACATCACAAGAAAGTACTGAACAAATCACTGAAAAATCCTCAAAAAAAAAAAAAAAAAAAAAAAAAAAAAAAAAAAAAAAAAAAAAAAAAAAAAAAAGCCCACAAAATAAGTTTCAAAGCAAATCTGCCAGCATATTGAAAGAATTCTATGACATGACCAAGTGGGACTGACTCCAGGAATGCAAAGTTGATGCAACATACGAAAATCAATCAATGTAATAAAGTACCTTAATAGAATGAAGGGGAAAAAAACATGATCATCATTATTATGATCATCATAATTCACCCAGAAAAGTCATCTGAAAAGAAAATACAATACTCTTTCATGATAAAACCATCCGCAAACTAGGAGCTGAAGGGACTCAGGAGGAGCTGAGTCCTGGCTTTGCCAGGACCCAGCTGGCCTATAGGTTTAGGACAATCCCTATCCAACTCCCAGGGTGTATTTTTGCAGATATAGACAAGCTTATTCTAAAAGCTATATGGAAATGCAGAGGCCTTAGAATGGCTGAAACAACCTCTTAAAAAAATGTTTATTTTTGAGGGGGGGCAGAGAGAGAGGGGGGACAGAGTATCCAAAGCAGGCTCCAGGCTCTGCGATGACAGCACAGAGCCTGATGAGGGGCTCGAACCCACGAACCACAAGATCATGACCTGAGCCAAAACTGGATGCTCAACCGACTGAGCCTCCCAGGCGTCCCATGGCTGAAACAATCTTGAAAAAGAAGAATCAAGCAGGAAAATCACTCTACCCAATATTAACGTCTACTATGTAGTTACAGTAATCAAAATACTGCAGCATTGACAGAAAGGGAGAGACACACAGATGATTGATTAGAAGAGAACAGAAAATCCAGAAGTAGGCCCACACACAAATATGCTGCACTAACCTCTGTCAAAAGAACAAAGGAAATTCAGTGTCATAGGACAGTCTTTTCGACAACAGGTTCTGGAGCCACCGTCCATCCATAGACAAAACCCACAAAAACCCAAAAGCCAGTGTCACCAAATCATGATGTTTAAAAATGGATCACGAGGGGTGCCTGGGTGGCTCAGTCGGTTAAGCATCTGACTTTGGCTCAGATAATGATCTCTCAGTCCATGAGTTCGAGCCCTGAGTCAGGCTCTGTGCTGACAGCTCAGAGCCTGGAGCCTGCTTGGGATTCTGTGACTCTCTCTCTGTCTCTCTCTCTCCCCCTCCCCCACTTGTGCTCTGACTCTCTGTCTCTCTCTCTTGAAAATAAACATCTTAAAAAATTAAAAATAAATAAAAGTAGATCACGAACTAAGATGTAGAACATAAAACAATAAAACTTTAAAGAAAAACACAGGAAAAGTCCTCAGGATCTAGGGCAAGGCAAATCACTTTTAGACTTGACAGCAAAAGAGTGAAAAGAGAAAACTGATAAACTGATCTCATCAAAATTAAAAAGAATTCTTCGCTGTGAAAGCTCATATGAAGAGGACAAAATATGAAACAAAATAAAAATAAAAACAAAAGACAAGCTACAGACTGGGAGAAGATATTCGCAATGTTTGCAGATGATCTATCCAACAGAAAACTTGCATCTAGAATATACAAAGAGCACTGAAATCTCGACAAGAATAACCAAACAACAAACCCTCCAAACAATCCATTAAAAAATGAGGGAAAGACACGAACGAATACTTCCCCAAAGAGGGTATACAGATGTCGTAAGCACATCAAAAGGTGCTCAACACTATTAGCCACCAGGAGAGTGCAAAGTAAGAACCACGAGAGATCAATGCACAATGATCAGAATGGCTAAGGTAAAAAATAATTACAACAGCAAATACTGGTGAGGATGTGGAGAAAGTGGATTTCACATCCATTGCTGGCAAAGTGCAAAATATTACAGCTACCGCAGGAAACAATTTGGCAGTTTGTTGTACAACTAAATGTGTAATTACCATACAACCTAGCAATTGCGCTCTTGGTATTTATCCCAGGGAAATGAAAATGTATGTTCACGCACACACACACAAAATACCTGTACGTGAAATTTCACAGCAGCTTTATTCTTCATAGCCTACACTGGAAACAGCCTGGCTGTCTTTCAGGGTGCGATTGGTTAAAGAGGATAGTCCGCATCAGGGCACAATGCTCGGTAAAAAACAACTGTTGCCTTTAAACATAAAACTGCCATTTTTTTTTTTGTTTGTTTTTTGAGTAGCAAAATGGGTTTATTTAGGAATAGCAGAGAAATGTATTCTGTGATAACCAAGCTTCATGAAGAACCAGAGGTGAATCTGTAAAACGAAGGAGAGGACCACTCTCACAGAGGCAAGCGAATCTGGGAAGGCTGTGATAACAAGAAGTTCATTAGAATAAACTGGGAACTCAAAATATAGTGGCTTCTCATTGGCTGAGCTGAGACTTTCACGCATTGGCTGGGCTATACCTGCTTCCATTGGCTGGGCTGTTGGGGGGATGGCGGGGGCGGGTGTGTTCCTTCCTCCCACTGAGACAGTAAAGGTAGTAGCTAAAGTAGTACCCCATGCAAGGTGCCACTGTTCCTGGTGGGTCTGGAATTGGTAACAAGTGCTAGGGTGTGAGAGCGCCCCCTGCTGTCCATCAGACTCTATTCTGAATGAAGTTTCCTTTTATTAATTTTCCCAGAACCAACTACTAATACATACACTGTGGACAAATCTTCAGCGAATTCTGAGTAGAAAAAGCCAGTTCAGGGGCACCTGGGTGACTCAGTCTGTTGAGCGTCCGACTTCGGCTCAGGTCACAATCTTGAAGTTCACAGGTTCGAGCCCCATGTCAGGCTCTGGGCTGACAGCTCAGATCCTGAAGCCTGCTTTGGATTCTGTGTCTCCCTCTCTCTCTGCCCTCCCCCACCCATACTCTGTCTGCCTGTCTCTCTCAAAAATAAATAAACATTAAGAAATTTAAAAAAAGGGGCGCCTGGGTGGCTCAGTCAGTTAAGCATCCGACTTCAGCTCAGGTCATGGTCTCACGGTTTGTGGGTTCGAGCCCTGCATCGGGCTCTGTGCTGACAGCTCAGAGCCTGGAGCCTGCTTCAGATTCTGTCTCTCTCTCTGCCCCTCTGCCCTTACAGTCTGTCTCTCGAAAATGAATAAACGTTAAAAAAATTTTTTTTAATTAAAAAAAATGAGACATCTTAGAAATTGAGGGCAGATTAGCAGGTACTAGGGCTTAACGGTTTTGGGGATTGGGGTAGGGGTGGGGATAGGGCACCATGGGGGTTCTTTCGGTAACTGACAGTTCTTCATCTCAACTGTGGCGATGTCACACATGTGACAAAGCTGTATAGAAGTGAACACAACACGAATACGAGTATGAGAAAACGTGCGGCGATGTGAAGGGACACTGGTGGGTTGTGTTAATGTCAAACCCTGGGTGGATCCGCACAATGTCCCCACGGGGGGCAATGGGGCAAAGGCTACAAGACACCCTTCCGTAATTATTCCTTACAACTTTTTCTTACCCTATAGAGCTGCCCTTGCAAAAATGCCACAGACGGGGTGGCTTATACACAACAGAGATCTATCTCATGTTTCCCATCTGATAGACTGAGACGAGGGGACGGTCACTGTGGGCTGTAAGGTGTGCTGAGCGCCAGTTAAGAAATTAACTCCTATGATTCCTGGATGGAATGGGAAGAAGGGTGTGCGGAAAACTGAGTGCGGACAGAGCTGTGTAGCAGCAAGCGGGCGGGCTGACGTTGGGGGCACGTGTTTGCCCCTCGTGTTTGGGGTCCAGGTTGGACAGTTCCCGGAGGCGCTGGCTTTCCTGCTCAGAATGCCCCCTTAGGAGACAAGTGGCCCTTATACAGGTAAAGACAAAGAGGCCAAGACCATATCAGCTGGTGGCATCCAGCTGGTGTCCGGGGCCACCTACAAATGTTCTGGGGGCCACAGTGCGCGACACAGAGGTACCTGCCTCCTCCATGCGGGAGTGGAGATGCTTTTCTTCTCCATTCTTCCCCATCGACAATCAGAACGCTGGCTGTGACCCACGACATTGTTCCACGGCCTGCCGTGGGGCCTGCCAGCTGTCTGAAGAACACCGTTCTCCCTTCTCTGAGGTTTCTACCCTCTGAGCGCTCTAGGATGCTGGAGAGCCGCTGAGATGGGAGGAAGGGTGGCTGGCACTTGCACTTGGGAAGTGGTACCCAACAGCAAAAGCCAGCCTCCACAAATGGTTCTGCGACATTCTCAGCTCCTTGTGGGGGACTTTGAGTGGTGTGGAATGACTCCTTGGCCAGTCCGCCAGGAGTGGGTGTCATTCGTCGTCAGTGGGCTTTGCGGCATGACTGCTTCAGGGAGAGGCCGCTCAGAGCACTTCTGTGCACAAGTCCAAGGCCCTCGGGGCTGGCCTGTGTGTCCGTGGCATCTTGGCCTGTAGCAGCGCCGCCCGGAGGCGCCCGGGGGTGGCCTCGCGGTGGGCAGGGCTTTCAGGTGTGGTTTAGAGACGGTCACAATCTCATTTCTGGTCTGTCACATTCACCGGGCGTTCCCTTGACACATATGTCCTGGGTATTTGATTTTCCAGGTCAGGTGCAGCGTGGTCATCGGGCCACGGCTGTGCGCTGCGCCAGAGATCCTCAGGCACCGAGCTCTCGGGCGCTGGATGCTTGTGCAGGCCACCTGCAGGGCAGCTCGGGTCAGCCCGCAGTCTTGGCTGCTGCCAGGCCCTGCAGTCTAGGCTGCCGACCGAATGAGTCATTTCCTTTCTTGCGCCAGCATCTCCTGGCTTTGCCCAGTTACTAGCGAGCTCCCACAACCCAGAGTCTCAGAAGAAAATCCAAATCAGGGACTGGAGAGATTAACGGACCACAGTGGACATGGCCCGGGCACACCCCCGCCCCCGTTTCCTGACACCACCCCACCCAGGGCTGGTTCCGCGTGTTATTTCTCTCTGGTGGCTTTGGAGCTGGGGGTGGGGCAACCCCTACAGACCTGGGTTCCTCCACGGAGGTCAGGATCACGGCCGCATCCTGCAGAGTCCACGCGGAAGGAAGAAGGAAGATTTCCTCTCTACCTGGCAACAGCCGCCAGCCAATGAGGGGTCACCTCCACCATCACCTGCAGCCAATGAGAGCCCACCTCCACCTCCATCACCTGCAGCCGAGGAAAGGCCACCAGCCTCTCATTTCCCTCCAGTGAACGTTCCTTCAAAGCAGCCCCTCCCACCCCGCGTCCTCTGGGAGCTGGCTCTGAGTTCGGGTTTGCTCGGTGGGCATAGTTTGCTTGCCGCACTGGTAATTGGTCTGCCCCTTCTCGCACACAAGCCCATTTGCCGCTGGATAACCTCTGCTGTTTGCTCTTCAAGATTGACAAGGGGTTATCTTCACGGCAGAGCGGCTTAATGAGTAACCGGGATGTCTCCGGTGACTCACCACCTCACCCGCCATAGGAGGAAACAACTTTGGGCGGAGTTGGGGGCAGCCTTCCCGGAACGGGGCGGGGAGGGGGCAGCGGCGGGGCGATGACCCAGGCTCGGCGCTCAAACTTAGATCCGAAACTGACGCTGCGGGTCCCCGCTTCGGTGAGTGGTCCCCGCCGGGGTTAGGGGATCTGCTTTCCGGAGCCAGGCTTCCCTGTCACCTGCCGTGGGCTGGGAAGGATGTGCGGAGAGCGGGGTGCGCGCAACGGGAGTACTCGGAGAGGAGAGGGCGCACGGGGAGGGTGAGCAGAGGTGGGGAGCAGGGGCGGGGAGAGGAGTGTAAG